TCTCTCTCTCTCTCTACTCTCTCTCTCTCTCTCTCTCTCTCTCTCTCTCTCTCTCTCTCTCTCTCTCTCTCTCTCTCTCTTCCTCCTGTTGCTCTCCCAGGTCTCGATTTTGGGAAATGCTTGCCGGTATCCGTGGGAACAATCTCGATTTGCAATTCATCGAGAATGTTTATGAAATCCATCAATTAACTCTACCTCGCGTTGAAATACAGACTGGCCCATTATTTGTGATATAATCGAGAAAGCGATGATTCCCATCGTGAAATAAAAGATTTTGCTCTACATTTTTGATTGTACGTTTTGCAACTTTGTTGTTGTATTTTAAAACCGTTTTGTGTGTGTATTTACACTCCAACGTGTCTATTTGTACCAACAGCAACAATAATGAATTATCATAACTACCTCGAATTATTAATTACCGATTTATTTGTTGTCGATATGAACAATTTTACAATATTGATGCTCTTAAATATTTACTGCGTGCGATGCGTGCGCTCCTTTTTTTTTTCGCGAGACTGTAAAAGTGTGCGAGGGCTCTTTATCACGAAGACAGATGATCATTTGTCGCAAATGATGTAGAGAAAGTAGAGAAGAAAACTGTTAGCAAAGAGTTGATCGATCGCGTTTCGACCGACCTTGCCTATTCGCGAGTGTAAGTATACATATTGCTCGTGGAAAAACTACAAGTGCGCGGATTATTACGATCGCCACATAAAACGTTTCTGCATCGAATCATAATTTTTCATCTAAACGCACGATAACTAGGCCGCTACGTCATTGCGTTTATATATAACATCACCGCGTAACATCAGTAACAAGATGAGCCTTTAATTTTGCGTATGCATTGTATGCATATTCAAACGGAATGTAAATAATAAAAATTAATGATAATTTCTAATTCCTATTTTATTAATTTGATTACATATGATTACCAAAACGCAAGGTTATATCGTTCGTGTTGTCGTTTCATAATTGAAATTAATTAATTCGTTGTAAATCTCTCTTGTACTCTCATCTCGACGAGATTAAAACGTCCGTATTTTCGATCAGTCAGCGGTAAAGGGCGCGATATATATACATATATATTATAATTAATTATCATTTATGATCATAGATATATTGTTCGAAATACGATTTCGACCCATCACGTTCACGTGTTTCGCGGCACGAAGTTTGTTTCTATGTATTATTACTATTATTATTATAAGCTGATGAATTTATCAAAAGCATTTACATATCCGCTCGCCCGAATAGAAAATGTGGCCAATAATATCAATGTTTTATACGAAATTAAGTAAATTAAGTAAATTACTCGAAATTAGGACAATAATTATTATCAAACATTGAATTCGGCATAACAACTACAAATTTGAGAGATTTGTTATCTGATGCAATTTGTCTCCCCTTTTTTCAAAGGCTCTTCCGCCGCGACGTTCCATGAGGTCCAAGAACGACGGAATCGTGACCGAAGATCGATCGTCGATCGTCGTTGCTCACTCGGCACGATCGCCCGTAGCACTGGTCCGCTCGATCTCTAGATGAATCACCGTGATCTACCGTGGATCCTACACGCAACGCGAGTCGCGCCGAACGAATCATGTACAAGATACTGCGCCGCGGCTCCGGCCGCGTCTTCGTCATCTGCATCGTGGTGCTGTCGCTCCTGCTGTGCCTGTACTACGTCAGCCAGGTCCAGGGACCGTCGTCGGGTCATCCCGCCGCCGCCGCCATCCTGAACGAGGAGCTCAGATACGACCGCAGCCTGACCTCCGTCACTCCGGATTACAACGAGTCGCCGGATGCCCAGGTGTCGCTCGCCACCTGTCCCATAATCGTGCCGCGAAACGCCGACATCGACGCCCAGCAGGAGTTCGGAAAGTTCGACTTCCAGGTAGGTGGTGCTCCTCCCGGCGATGCTTTTTCCCGTGTCTCGCGTCTCCGGTAATTTCATTTCGCTCGTTTCCCCCTTGTACAACTTGTCTCCAAGTATTCTCTTTTCTCTCTCTCTCTCTCTCTCTCTCTCTCTCTCTCTCTCTCTCTCTCTCTTTCTCTCTCTCTCTCTCGTGTTGTGCCGAGTTTCGATTTCTATGGTGTTTTCGTCGCGTTTTCCGCTTTAAGAAAATCGACCAGAAACTTTTTTAGATACGTAGAATAATGAATTGACGATTGGATCTTTATCATATGAATGCGTGCATTTTTATTTCGTGAAGATCGCATTACGATTAATTAGCGCGAATAGAAATTACGTTATCAGGCGGTGATAATATTAGTAATAAAACAGATGAGTTTTTATTTATCTTTTAAAAGAAATTAAACAAAAACGGAACTTAGAAGGCTTTTCGTAGTTATACAATCCGTGATTTATAAAGTTAAGAGGAAAAGTGGATCGAGCGTCAGTGGCTTCTTTTATTCTCGAGATTATCTTTGGCGTACCCTCGGCACGGGGTATTTATGTTCGCAGAAGTTTCCGTGGAATATACGAGCGGCTAAATTTTATACCAATACCTCATGGACGCGCTAAGTCCGGTCGTTTTAAAAGTACCGCGTCATTAGCCGCGAAACTTTCTTCGTCCCCTCGTAAGAGTCTGTGAACTTCACTGATTTAATGGCTAGCCGTTGTAATAAGAGGATTCTCCCATTTACGTGCGATGTATTCAAAAAAAGAGATCATTTTTATATCGTACATTTTGCCCTTAAAAATTTCACCGAAATAAATTAATTTTTATTAAGCGAGAAAAAGGAGATTGATGAAAGAGAGCTCGGCGAGTTTTTCTCGAGGGAAAAAAAAAATACATTCTCTCGAGCTGTTATTTCTGACATTTTAATTTTATGACTAGAGATCGTTTAATTAATTTAATTAACATTATTGGTTACTTCTAGCGTAAAATATATTCAACATTCTATTAGCTGTCACTTTTGATAAACATCACGTTCCCTATCGTGTTACACCGTCCCTGACGCGCCTGATAAGCGGAAGCGGAGTCTACAATTCAAATCTTCTCATGTTCGCCTAATTACAAAGCAACCGGCTGCCATTCTGCTTAGCTGCTCGCGGTAGTAATTTCCGACATTGTATACTTGCAGCGGTTTATAATCGAGATGCAAAGGAGCATTGATTTCGGTACTTAGCGAGACTCGCTTCGTTACAGAATAACGTTACAGAAATCTCTTTAATATAACAGCACGCGATGTGTGTCGCTTGTGTGACGAAGAGACGATTATCTCTCTATCTATCTTATCTATTAAATTTGCTTCCGTCTGTTAAAAAAAATATTTTTATGCAATTTAAATTAAAAATAATCTACGAGGAAATATTTTAATTATACTTTATATAAAAATTAATATAAATTTCGGATGAAATACGGCAACATTACAAAGTCGTACTTTTTATTTAATTAAATTAAAAAAATATATAAGTTTTATATTACGCATTAGTTGATCATATCACAAATAATTCTGTTTTGTATTTTTTTTTTAATTTTTAAATATATCTTTTTATTGCGCAAAGTTTTTGCGCTTTGAACTCCGTTGTTATTATTGCAGTATATAAAAAAAAAATTTTCGGAGCCGCATATTAGTTACATGGATTCGGATGATGGCGTTTATATTTGTTATACAGCTCGATACACGTAGATGACAAAATCCAGCATCGAACTCTCATCCCGTGCTAATTTAATTAATCGGCATTCCCGCGCGGAAAAAAAAAATTTTTTTCGCGTGTTGCGTAACCGCGGTCGGGAATAGAATCGGGGAAAAAAGTGCCGAATCGAAGTATTTCGACCGTAGTGCGTTCGAATCCGCGATCTCGTTCATCGATTATTTATGGTTTCGCGTGACGGACGGGGGTGGAGGGGAGGGGGAGGGGGGGTCTCCATGTCGAAATTTCTATCGAAATTTACACGCGCCGCCGCGAGTCCGCGAATGCCGGCGAGAATTCAGCTCGTCGCGTTTTGCACACGAACGTCTCTCTGCGGCGCAACTTGTCACAACCAAACGGCGACGCGCCGTTCTGATAATACGGCTGAACTTTTGCGTTCCCGCTTAATTTTAATTTCTCTTTTTGTTTTTTTTTTTTCCGCTCGGATACTTTATGATCCACGTCGGGCACTTTCCGCCGGCGGCTCGACGTAACGCTGTGTTTAATTCTCTACATACAAAATGCATTAAATTTTTTCGAGCTTATTCCAGCGACATTCGTTACCGCCGTGAAAAAAGGTCGGAATCGCAATTCGCTGTCGCCATTTTTAACCCGACCCTCTCTTTCATTCTTATATCGCTCTTTTCCCTCTAGATTTTCCCATTTTTCCAAGTTCTCGATTTCTGATTTAAATCCGAAATGTATATTTAGGGAATAATTTATAATATTAACTCGGGACTTTCGTTGCGCTTTTTTTTCCGCCGATCTCTCCTCCCCGCGCGATGTTTCGACCCACTTTGCGAGGAGCCAACGCAACACAATATCAATGTTTCATAACTGGACGCGCAACAACGAGGTTTGAAAAACCGCGCGTTGTCAGTCCAGAAAGACTAATCGAACGTAAATTAATATGTCACGCAATAATCTACTCGAATCGACGACCTCGATACGT